ACACCTTCGACTCGCAGTCCTCTCATCGAATTTGCGAGATTTGTTCAGATTTGAGTGGGCAAAAATCATACAGCAAAATGCATTCGTCAGCAGTCAACGCCAGCTGGTGCTGCTGGTGCTGGTGCTGCTGCTGCTTGATGCCACTTGAAAAAGTTGCTGACTAGCTGGCTGGCAACTTTGTCTTGGCCATCAAGCGAAATGTCATCCGTCAGTTGTCAGCCGTCAGCGGTTCGCTGTTTATGTTGCACTGTGCTGCTCATTAGTGCTACGCTTATGATGATAATTTGGATTAAGCCACAGGAGCAGAACCGAAACGCACAGCAGCAATCGGAAGCGATTTGCATTTGGGCTTGACATAAGCCATAAGCTATTCGGCTCAATAGCACACCAGGCCAGCCAAATTGAAAACAAAATCAACATCAAAATCCAAATCCAAGTCAAAGTCCTTGTTCAAATTGCATTCAACTCATGTTGAGCTAGGCAAGTGCATAGTTATACAACTAAAAAAATCAAATAAAAAGTATTTGCTTGTGGCTAGCTTCTGCCAATAAGCAACAAATTCAGCTGGTATCAAGTGAAAGCAATATTCAATTTTTTCAACATTACACACAATACACACACATTGCTTATATTATTTTAAGACTTTCAGTTGCAGTCATTAAGTTGAGCTTTGAGTTGTACGAAATATATAGTTACTGAAACATTATTTCTTTAATGAATAAAATAATGTATAAATATTCCGATAAAAAGAGTTGAAATTTTATAATAATTTTTACGGCGACATCATCCCTATCATGATAGAGCTGTTTATGACAGATGCTCAAGGCATGTGATTGTCATTTCAAATATATAATTTATCATGCGTACATTTTAATTCAAGTTGTTCTTGTTTATGGGCGAAAAAAACATTAAAAATCAGAAAAAGCGTGTATCTCAAGCATGGCGAAGATTACATACCCTTTCAGACTGAAATTGAACTGCTGGCACATAAATGTTACTATAAATTTAAAAGCTATATATATTAATTATTCGTTCTTGATAATTTTGGAGAATATTATTATATTAATATATTAGGAGAATATGCTCGGAAAAGAAATCATCTTCAATTGTAGAGATGAGCAAAAACATTGTCTTGCTTTTAGAAATAATTTGTAGATAAAAGAACAAAATGTCTAAAAATCGAACCGGTCTTATGAACACATCTGACAATAACTAATAAAGAAGCTAACTTTTCTATTTGTGTCCAAACTACAATGTATATATATTTAAAATTGCTTATTACGGAAATTAAAGACATTCGATTTTTGTAATTACACTTACATCTATATGTATATATCTTATATATATCTTGAAGTTTGAAAGTGGATCTCAGATGTAAAATCTGAGCTTCGTTTTGGATAAATGACTTACTGAGTTTGCTAATGGGATTTCTGGCAAATCGTTGATGTAATTAGCATAATGCAAACTTAAGAGCAAATACTTGACTATTCTTAATGCTATTTCTTTCTCTTTCTCTTCCTCTATCTTTCTTTCTGTCTCTCTCTCTGTCTCTCTCTCTCTCTCTTTGTCTCTCTGCAGATTTGGCTGATGGTTTGATAAGCCAACCGAACAAACACATAGACACTTATGTTACCTGCTTTTTTGCGAGTCATTTTAGCTGCATTATTTGTGCTGCTTAAATGCGCAAAAAACGGGTGAAAAAAGGTAAAAAAAAAAAAGCAGAGATGAGAAGCGAACAAAATTATAATAATAAATAAAAGCGAGTGGCAGGCAACTCGACGCAGCGGTTTCACACGCAATTAACATATTCTCTCTGTTTCATTAAAATTGTTGCACTTTCTAAGGGGTTACAACTGCCCTTGCACCTGACCACCCCTGTCCCCCCCTACATAGAGCAGGATTGTGTCCGGATTTTGCTGTGCTTTTCCTGCTTGCCTTTCGACACATGCACTTTTTAATTATTTGTTGATTTTTTTAATTCGCTCTCGCTCTCTCTCCCCTTTTTTCAATTACTTATGCAACCATGTTGGGGGGGGAGGAAGGAGAGAGACAGAGGGATAGAGGGAGAGAAAATGCGCAAGTAATTGTCTTTGGGCTAAGCCTGAGATGGAGCTTTGGTTTGGGGAATTGCGATTTGCGTACGGTTTTGGTTTTGGTTTTGATTTTGGCAGGATCAAAAGAAGTGGTTGAAGGCGGTCGACGCTGACTGTTGAACAAGTCCTGCCAAATGCTATTTACATTTATGCCACCTCCATTTGTAGTCGCATTAAACAATTAACAATTGTAATTGATAATCAATTAGTGGTCACAGCAGCGAGCTGCCAACATCTGCTTAAATAAGCACACATATGTACACACTCCTATATTACACATATGTATATTAAGCTAATTATTATCAACTATGACACGCCGAAGCTCATAATCACTACAGCCAAATTATTCCGAAATATGACAGCAGTTCACAAAATGGCATGCGCTCAGACAATTAAAGACAAAAACACTAGAACGTATTTTTTAATAATAGATTTAATAACAAGTGGCTGCAATAAAAACTTTGTGGCCAGTACTCGTCTTTTTCGTTTATTAATATATATATATATATATTTTTTTTTTTAGGGCTAAAACGGGTTTTTCTGACAAGCTTGGCTAACAACTGCTGTTGTGTTAATTACCAAAAAAAACACGAATTCGAATTCGAATGCGAAGCACATAAAAATATGAATGTAAGCAAAGTCAAAAGTGCCCGCTGATACGAGTATATGTGTATCTGTGAATGTATATATATATATACATAAATATATGAATAAATCATTAAACTGTAGCAGCATCAGCAGCTATGAAGTGCGGCATTTGCGACGTTTGCCGCAAGTAAACAGATTCCAATTTGCTGGCCCGTTGAAATTAACAATTATTAATAGCCAGGCCGAGAGCAGTAGAATACCAGTTAGTCGAACTTTTAGCCTTAAATAGCATTAATTGCCATCTCAGTCAAAGCAATTTATCACGCTTTAAGCTTATTAAAGCTTTCAAATTATCAAGCAACGTGTACATCACATTCTGCTGCGAATCAATTATTAAAATATTATATAATTTAGCCATAAGCCGAGAGCAAGTGCTTTAAGATTTAATACCCAATAAAGGCAGTTAAGCGCAAGTAAAGATTGCTGATGTTTTTAATGGATCCAAAAGCTCATTCACTCACATTTATAAGTTGTTAACTGATTATTTGTGGGGACACTCTCAAATGTGGCATTACCTGGAGCGAGAGGACAATTGGAGAGTGCAAATTGTAAGCAATAAATATGCTTTTAGCCACAGCCAAATCAATTTATACAGTTTGAAGCTTGCTTGAACTCTCAGGGTTTTAGACAATGCAAAGGATCATCTCTCTCTCTCTCTCTCTCTTTCTCTATTTACCTCTCTGTGTATCTCACTCCCACCCACTCATATACAAACAACTACATTAATTTCTGGCCTCATCTATTTATTTAAATTAAGAACAGGTTATTTACCACCAAAAACACATTAACCAATACGATTTCAATTTGCTTTCCGCAGAAAAGATTTCTTGCGCATTTTTTTCCCGGTGTACGCGATTAATTCTCGCGTAGCGTATCTGAGAAAAGTCCCCCAAAATAAACACAAATATCAAATAAATTTCGTAGTTAGTCAATTTTTGGCTATTGATAAAAAATAAGAAATAAACATAGAGAATTTTGAAGTCGGGCATAGCCGACTGCGAAATACTTTGATAACATACGTTATAACAGCTGACAACATATTGCAAGGAACAGGATGGATGTACCCAAAAAATACTGCCCAAGTTTGCCTTTCAAATTGCGGTAGACTTAAACCAGTAAACTTCCTTAGAAGTTTGGTAAATGTAGCTCTTATTTTACGGGAATGGATTGAGAAAAATTATGGAGAATGTTCCTACTAATCTTCCTTACAGGTTTGGTAACTATAGATCATAAATTGTGGGAGATATGGGCTTTTATCGATTTCAGGATTTTTTAAAAGATTTACTAGCAATAACCTTTCAAATTTGATGACTCTTGCTTTCAAATTGTGTGAGATATTCGGTCTTATCGATTTACGCTAACAGGTGTATCGGTTTAGGGAACGGGCATGGCCATCCAATGTCTTATCGATCTCTTAGAGGAGTTACTAGTAACAGACTTTCCAAATTTGGTGACTCAAGCTTACAAATTGTGTGAGATATGCCCATTTCGGATTTCTAGGAAAATGAATATGCCGATCCTTGATGGAGGTTACCAGGAAATTACTTTTCAAGTTTGGTCACTCTATCTTTAAAATTGTTGGATATATGCGGACGTATCGATTTACACTTACCGAAATATCGGCATTGGCGATGGGACAGTATGGCGTGGACGTGGCCACAAAAAATTGTTATCGGTTCTCAAAAGCGGCCACCAGTAACAGAGCTACCAAATTTGACGGCTCTAACTCAAAAATTGCGGAAGACATTGCTATTTAAAATCTTAAGGGGGAGGGGGGCCTTGGGGCGACGGAGATGGGCGTGGCATATGCCGATCTTTGAGGAACATCGCCAACAACCTACTTACCAAATTTGAAAACCACAGCCTTAAAATTGTGGAAGATATGTGGCCTTATCGGTTGCAGTTATCGATTTATCGATTTCCTAGCCTGGCCTAACCTAGTGGATGTAGCACCCCAATTTGAACACGTTTTCTGACGCGTGCATGGAACAGTATATGTTATAAGCTTCAAGTCTCTAAGGGTTCATACAGACGGACGGACATTGCACAAAACCAATATACCTTGATACCTTTGGTATCAAAGTATAAAAAAACCAGTCCATGCGTGACTTGAGTTATCGGCTAAGGGGTAGTTGAAGAGTGGGGGAGTTGGGGCATCTAGTGAGTTGTGTGTGAACCACGATCACTATAAATAAATACAGCTACTTGGCTAGGCAGTTTAGTGTTGATTGAACTGCCATAGGCAAATTAACATTGATAATGCGTAAGGAGACTTTTGTAGTGTGCCTGATCTTGGCCAGCTGCTGCTGCTGGACGAGTACAGCGTATCCCCAGAGTGAAGAGAGCTCGTCGTCAACAACAACCACAACAACAACGACAACAACGACGACAACGCCAAAGCCCGAATCAACAACAACAACAACCACCACTCCAAAGCCCAGCACAACTCCGAGCACAACGCCGAGCACAACGCCGAGCACAACGCCGAGCACAACGCCAAGCACAACGCCAAGCACAACGCCGAGCACAACGCCGAGCACAACAACACCGAGCACAACAACGACGACAACAACAACAACTACACCCAAGCCAGATGATGACGCCGAGGCAAAGGAGCTGCTAATGAAATGCGAGCAGCTGCGTAGGCGTCACAAGAGGGGCAACTCCTCATCGGAGGAGGATAGTGGTGAGCAGAAGTCCGAGAAGAAAGAGCGCAAGAAGCTGAAGAAGATGTGCAAGGAGCTGAAGAAGGAGCAGGAGCGCAAAGAGAAGCGCCAAAACTCCGATAGTCTGAAGGAACTCTCAGACGCATTGCGCAACTACCAAATGAAACAGAAGAGGGGAAGGCATTAAACTATTATTATGTCATATTCAACAAATGCAACTTTTTCTTACCTTTTTTTTTTTTTTTATATATATGGCCATTGTTAACTTTAATGGTAATAAACATGCGTAATTGTGAAATGGATGATCTGATAAATTAGTAGTGGAAAGCTGTGACCCACTTGTAGATCGTTGACGCGATATGACTGCTAATTGACAACTCAATCAACAACAACAGACACGACTTAGATCATTCGATTAGCGACATTTCTTTTTAACATCCACAATTTTCTGGCCCCCCCTTTATCGGTAATATATAATTATTAGTATTCAAATACAATGTTGAGCCATCCTATTAATGCATGCTCATAGTTGTACCTCATATATAAGGATGTGACAGAGAATCAAAATTGTTTGTATACAAAATCTATTCAAAAAGTAACCTTAATCAAAGTGAAGAAACCAAAACACAAATTTTAACAAAATCTAGATTTAATAAAGTTGTCACTTGGACAAATTGTCTATATTGTTCCGGATTCCAACTGCCGGGTTTTGAGATTTCCATATTTCGACGCAAGGCTAGAAGATTGCTCAATATATGTATCAGACAAGTTGATTGCTTGTAACTAGAATTATGCTTTTCCATAATATATTTATAAATGCAAACCTGCTTATGCAGATCTAAGTCGGTTAACTCGCACAGCATATATGCGCATATTAAATTAACCGAACAGCGAGTGGTGTTTTTTTTTTTTTTTGATTATTTGTTCAATAAATTGAATTAGATATTTATTGGAAAGTTTCGTTTCGATTTATAATGTATTCACAAAAATTGAATTGATGTTGAAAAGTGAACTTATAGCAACTAGCAACATTTTAAATTGGAAGTCTATAGTTTTCAATAGCAGATGTCTTTTTATAAACACATAGTCTGCAGGCACGTTTGCTGAATTCAATTTCATTTGGATGTTCAAAGTGCTTTACCGACAGCAAAAACAAATAAATAAAAAAGTGGAAAAACATAACATAAAAATCAGCTGAAAAATTGTGATCATAATGGAAGTTATAAATAATTCCAATTTATCATTGGCTGAAGTTCGTTAATTAAATTTGAGCATTTTAGACCTGCTCAACTTGGCGTTTGAAGCAAACATTCCACGGTCCCAAACCCATTGGTAAAATTTGTTTAAGCCGCTGTCTGGGGTCGAGCGATGTTCTTTTTCTTTTGTTGTTCTTCATTTTTGTTTTGTCGATCGCTTCAACAGCTAATTTGCATTTACGAAATACAACAAGTCAAGCAATAAGCAATAACACAAACAAAAATTAAACAACATGCAAATGTTGAGAGAGTTAAAAGTTGGTAAGTAGGCAAGAATGATAATGAAGCCGCAGTTCAGCCATTGAACTCAGCAGAACGCTCGCCATATAGAAAGCCAAGAGTTTATTTTTCTTATTAATTATTTATTCATTTTTTTTTTTCGTGCAAAAAGTAGCCAAGACTGTGGCCGCGACTGCGTGTGGGGATGAGGCGCCTTAAATGGGTCGACCCGGCATTAGGCGTACTTTGAACTCTTGTGGCCGGGGGCCCGAACTGTGGTTAATTATGCGGCATCAAAATTTAGCAGCAACCAGCAAAAAAAAAAGAGAAAAAGAAAAGAACCGTTAATGATAATGATTTATTCACCGATATCTGCTGGACGGCGCAAGTTGATATAAGTGGCAGCTTGTTCCCACTCCCGATTCAGTTGGCACACACAAAGCAAACAATGAGGTGGTCAATGTTATCGATACAAACGTTGCTGGTCCTGGTCCCGGTCCTGGTCCTGGCCCTGGCCGGTGGCCACTCACTGGTGAGCGGTAAATTTTTTTGAATCCCATTTTGGATGAAACGGAATCAACTAAATCTGACAAATCTCTCTCAATCTCTTTCTCTCTCTCTCTCTCTCTCGCTGTCTTTCTCTCTATCTCTTTCGATCGCTCGCTCCTCTGTGTGTCTCTCTCTTTTTTGTGTTCCTCAAGCAGCACGGGATGAGCCGCGTCCAACGGCAGCGCCGCTGCTCAGCTCCACCATGAAGCCAACGACTGGACCCAAAACGGAATCGAATCCAATGAAACCGCAGATGATCATCAATGCACCACCCATGAATCAGAAGCATCTGGTGCCAGTGGACACCGCCAAGGAGACACAGCAGCTAAAGTCCACTTTGCAGGTGAAGGATGCCAAGCCATTGCAGGTGACTGGTTTCATTACCAAATCGGGCAACATCTACGAGATTGAGGATAAGAACGGCATCGGCCGCATTGAGCCACGTCAGGCTGATCAGGCTGAAGATGCCGGCGAAGGCGGCGAGGTCGGCGAGGGCGGCGAGGGCGCCGATGGGGAGGACTCCCAGATCGTTTGCACCTATGGCAATGTGGTCGTGTACAGCGATGTGCCTTGCGATGAAGTGACCGGCGTAAAAGTGGGCGACGTGCAGCCGTCCGAGGCTGAGGAGGCGCTTCAGGAGCAGCCAAACGCTGAGGAACAGTCGCCGTCCAGCGATCAAGGAGAAAATACACCACGTCAGCAGGCTCAGCAGCAGCGTCGCCGACGTCGTCGTCGTCGTCGTCCAAACAATGGCAATATGCAGCAGCGTCGTCGCGGTAATGGCAACAATGGTCTTGGGGGAAGGCGTCGTGTCATCCGAAGACGCCGCGTCCGCCCTAGCAACAACAACAACAACAACTATGGCAATCGACGCACTCAGCAGCGTCGCCGTCGTCCCAATCAGCGTCGAGGCAATGGCAACAATGGTCAGCGCCGTCCGGTTAACAGACAACAACAGCAGCAGCGTCGTCGTCAGCAGCAGCGTCGTCGTGCGCAGCAGCAGCGTCGTCGCCAGCAGCAGCGGCAGCCACAACGCAGACGCCAGCAACAGCGTCAGATTCACGACGGCGACGAAATGTAAAAGGCCAACAGATGATGATAAAAGTAACAACGCTAAATTGCACGTTCTATTGTCACCTTTTCCATCGCTCAAACAAACAAATAAAATGTTAAAAAAAAAAATAAACAAATTAGAAAAAAACACCTCAGCCTTTAACGCCAACTGCCGCATCCAGCTTCCGAGCTTTGTGCTTGTGTCCCTGAGTAGCTGTTTAGAAAACCATCGTAATTGAAATAAGACTGCTGTGCATTGAGTGCATTCGACACGGAAATGCCCTCAATTCCATTTCTGCTTTTTTATGGATGTTATAACTGCAATGGAGAACTGTCCATTTATTATTAAGAGTTAGATGTGCAAGGGTATGTAGCAGACAGGAGGAAGCATTTCTGACCCCAAATAGTGTATATATTCACAGCCGAGTCCATTCAGAGATGCCCGACTGTCCTTCTGTACGAACTAGCTGGTCTCAGAGACAATAAAAATAGGAGACCTCAAATTTGGAATACATGTTCAATATAATAAAATCGATTCAATATCGATAACTCTTCGCTTGCCGATTATCGATACAAATCGATTTCCGATAAATTGTATATATATATATATATGCTGTGAGCAGCAGGTTTGAGGGTATCTTCTAGTCGAGCTATCTCAACTAGAGCAATCTGAGTTGTTTTTGTTTTGGTAGATAACTTTTATTTTAAGAGAAATTCTTTGAATACTCACCATTCGCAATAAATAAACAAAAACATTTCATTTGAATGGGAAAGTTGTTGTTAGTGATGCTCAGTCAGCTAGTTATATACATCTAACGAGTTGTTACTGTGGGATTAGAGTGCTGTTGGGTGGCAACGCTGGTTAACAGATCTGACAGCAGCAGCATTAGTAGTAAAAGAAGAGTCGTAGAAGAACTGGAGACCAAGTGTCGAGTTCGTGAAACACAGCGTTAAGATCGTCAAAGTCCCGAGTCTCTAAAGTTGTACAGTTGTCGGTGCGTCGAGGAAACTAGTCGTTGATTTTTAAAGTCGAAAATTGTAATTTCAATACTCATATTTCACAATATACCTACAACTATGATACATAATCAGTTCTACAAACATATGCATACATGTATATATATTTGTGTTGCATACTTTTATCTAACAATCAAATTGTTATCTATATATATGATAATCTGCAGATTAAGTTCTACCTTGCTTCGAAAAGTATGTTATAATTATGTGAAATTCACTAGTAGAGTTCTTAGCTTACCATACAAACAGAATATGATTCAAGCTAAGTTGACATTAAGCGTTAACTGCATCCAAATTAAACAATTCAAGGCAAATCATTGTACAATATGGGGTTGGACATATCTTCTTCAATTATTTGCAATGGAACTCACTGCTAGCAGTTGGTTGCGGTTGCGGTTGCGGTGGTGCCCCAAATTGTTGGCATCACATCTGTCGCAAGTCACATTCCAAGGAATGGAAATTCTATGTTATGTGTGGTACTTAAGTTAGCCAATTAAAAATTGATTTCATGACTGACGTCCAGGCATGGATTTTTAGGATGACTATTTCTTAACAATGAACAGCTGCCCAAGCTTACTTAATTTTTCTTATACTTCACTACATATTTCCAGAGCTGTCCCTACGACACTTCGGGGGTTCAGTCCTGTTTTTGAATATGCATAATCGATATTCTGTGCTTGCTATTTGTGGCAAAACGAATCGCTTTATATGTGATCCAATCGCATCAGCAAATTGCAGTGATATATTTATTTAAATAAGACAGAAATGTATGTTTCTTTAAAAAAGAACATCCATCCAGGGATTTGTATATTCTCATGTTAATTAATTTGTACAATCAATTTTCGTTTACCCATGCGTCCATAAATCCTAACAGGAATTCCGTGCTCTCCTTCTGAGCATCTGACAATCACCTCCTCCTGAGTTTGTCACATTGATTGTAACTAGATTTTCAAGTCGACGCCACTTTTTGCTCAACAGTTTGCCGAGAGTATGCTGTCCAAATGGAGTAGTAATGGTTGGGCAAGGGGGTTGGGCTGAGCAATATGCGTGGGGGAGGGAGCGTTCGGTTGTCCGATGGCTGCGGGTTGCGGGCTGCGGGTTACGGTCTATGGCTTCTAGGGCTGCGATGTCAGCATCAGCGTCAGTTGCAAGCAACAAGATTTTTTTTGGCGCGCGCGCTTGGGCCCAGCGCACTTAACACATAAAACAAATACAAATGCAGCAACAACAAGAGAACACAGAGCAGTTGCAAGAGCAGCAACTACGGTGAACACCCCTCACATTCCACACATTCCACACATTCCACATTGCACATTTCACACCCTGTCTCAGCTCTACCGGTGCAGCAGCAACCCTCAAAACGAGCGCAAGGAAGTCATTCAAAAGTCAACCAACTTTCTTCTTGTGAAACACGCTTAAGCGCAGAAAAAGGAAAGACTCGCACGCATATATATATATATATATATATATATATATATATGTTTAAGTATATATATATATATGTTTAAGTGTATTTTGCATGAATATTTGCGAACACAGCAGCAGCAGCAACAACAAATACAAATACAAAAGCAAATGCAAGTCGCCTGCTGATTTTCCTTTGTTGTTTGCATGCACACGAATGCGCCAAAACGGCCAACCCCCTACTCACTACCCACTACCCCCTTCCCCTCTCCTCCCTCTCCCCACCGCCATCTGTGCCATCATCTGCTGCAACTCAATGCTGAAAATATAAAAGGAAAAGAGAAGAGCATACGGCCAGATCCCAAACACAAACGGCTGCTGCACTTCTGCCCCTTCGTTCCTCTCTCGTCCCCTCTTCCTTTCTCTGTCTCTCCGAGGTGTCATCAAAATGTGCGCCACGTTAACTTCAACGTTGACGTTGACGTTGACGCTGACGCTGACGTCGCTGTTGTTGTTATTATTGTTATTGTTGTTGCTGTTGCTGTTGCTGTTGCAGTTGCTGTTGTGCATTGAGCCTGCAAGTTTATCACCTCATTGTTTTTGCATGCCGGAGCTAGATCTCATTGTCATCGCCTCTTATACATGTGTGTGTGTGTGTGTATAAGTGTGTGTTTGTTTGTTGTGTTGTGCTGCCTGGCGAGTGGTGTTGCCGCCACTCAAATGTGGCAATGTCGACATCAAGCTCAAGTTAGTGCCGTACAATGCATAAGCAAATTCGGATGCCATTTATGGTTAAGTCAGTCACAGATAGGGTTGCTAAGGCAGTCAAATGATGTCGCATCGTGTACACACACACACACACACACACACACACATATTATATATATATATAAATATATATATAGTGTTCAAGTGAATGTTCGGTAGTGAATAGAGCCGTTAGCTAACTGATAGCGAACAGGGTATTTATTAGTGCTTACTGTTAACCGTTACCGAGAGCAGGTGTATCAATAACCTTTAACTGCTTTGGGGTTAAACAACTCAAATCGCTGAGAAAAGCTCAACTGGCCAATAAACCAATATTGAACTGAGCAGGCGAACAGAAATAGAAACGCAAACGGGAATAGAAACAGAAACAGAAAAGGCTATAAAAAGCCAAAAGCATAATGCCAGGGCAAATCATACTGGGTGGGGTGGTGGTGGTGGCGGTGGCGGTGTTGATGATGGTGATGGTGGTGCTGCGTGGCTGGGCACATCATGCATTTAACTTTGGCAAACACAAAACCTTTTGGCCAAAGCGTTCCTCTCTCATACACAGAGAGGGAGAGAGAGAGACAGAGAGGGGGAGAGAGGGTAAGAGGAGAATGGGGAAGCAGCAGATATAATTTCATAAAGATAAAACAGTTTAATGTCGCTGCGAACAAAGCGAGGCCCAAGCTCAGACTAAAATATGAAATTTGAGATGGAAATTGAGCCACAGATAGAAATGGAGCAAGCGAGGAAGACAGAGAGAGAGAGAGAGAGAGTGAGGCAGAGAGAGAGAGAGAGAGATGGAGGTACACTAGGAGAGACGATTGTATGAAGGCTGTTTGAAGGACCCATTGACCCCCCGCCGATACAGCTGACAAGATGGCGGCTGGCGAGAAAAAACACGAAAAAATAAACACATAAACACTGTGAGCCGGCGGCATTCAGCGAAATGCGAAAATCTGTCAATTATTTAAATCGCCTGGGAAAAATCTGAGCGCCCAGCCAGGTCGCTTAGTCGCCCGCAGGCAAACTGAAAGTGGAGCGCCATCTTCTCGACAGCGGGCGGTCGACGTCGTGGTCCATATAGTCCCTGCCGTCCGTCCGTTTGCCACGCCGGCTAGCCGAAAACTATGTGGCCTGTTGAAGAGCTGCCTTGTCTGTTGGTAATTAACATGAAAATAAGCGCATTAGCATCTTGGATGCCAGCGGTTTATGTTGCTGATGAATGACATTGGGGTTGGCAAGGGGTTTCGTGGCAGCTGGGGGAAGGGGAGAAGGAGTTTGATGGGTGAATGCGTGGGCTTCTCTGGTTTCATGAGCTTGTCTTGGTTGGCCCCAGTGGCAACCTAGCTATGACTTCAACTTGGGCCCCTAATTATGAAATCGAAATCGAAACCGAGAAAATTCGACCAGCGAAAAACGTAAAGCGCGCAAATTAAAATAATAAATTCGCTATATTAAAGGAGGAAGTCATTAAAGACGGGGCCAAATAGGCAGACAGACTAACTGTCAGACAGACTGACAGGCAGACTGACAGACAGATAGACAGACAGTCGTTTTGTAATGACGATGAGACATTCCACGCGGCATATTGACTACTGAGCGATGAGCACTGAGCGTTGAGCCTTTTGTCTCCTGACGACGACGATGAGGACAGGGACTTGAACTGGGAAGGGGATGGGGATGGCGATGAGGACGAGAACGAGGACGAGAATGAGAATGACGACGACGTCATTAGCAGCATTTACACGTAGCACGTTGAAGCCAAAGGATAATAAGTAACGACGTCGCCTTGTCGGCGAAAGTGTGAAAAGAAAAGCGACGCTGAGACAAAAACTGACACAAATTAAACTGAAA